GGCACACGGTGCACTTTTATACATGCTGGCAAAACACTCATGCGCACAAAATTTTAAAAAGAGCTGGCGAGATGGCTCAGCAGGTAAAATGCCACTGCTGCCAAGCCTGATGTCTAAGTTCAGTCTACATGGTGGAACATGGTGGAAGGAGAGAACTGACCCACAAAAGTTCTCCTCTGACCTCCATTCCACACCAACACCCCCCCCACACACACACACCACGACTCTGACCTCCATTCCACACCAACACCTGCCCCCCGCCACACACCAGCCCTGCTCTGTGCCTCTGTGGGCACAGGATGGAGGTAGACTGGCACGATGGCATCTAGGGATTGTTCCATGACCCAGAAGGTCTTTAGGCACGCCTTTCACCCCTCCTTATAGTCCCCAGGGCAGCCTCCTCCCCTCCAACTCTCCTGACCTTGAATCAGAAGGCCCAGCTCCCGCCTCTGATCTTGCCTCCCTTCCTGGGCTGTGTCCCCAAGCAAGTCACCACTTCTGTCTGGGCCTGTATTCTCTAAAGGAGGGGTGGCATTTCATGGTCCCCCTCCAGCCTCCCCATTGCAACCACAACCATCCAGGTCCAGCCAGCAGTGCCACCTCCCCAGCTCCTCCCCTACCTTCTCCCTCCTCATCCTGCCTCTTTTCCCTCCTCTTCTTCATCCCCTCCTCCAGTTCTCCCCTCCTCCCAATCCCCTCTTGTACCCACCCAACAGGCAGCCTCCTCTCCCTATCAATTAGCGCTCTGTCAGGAGGCGGAAAGAGCTAGCTAGGGCACCCAGCTGGAAAATTGGGTGTTGGGAGCAGCCAGGAATACTAATACCCCACCCTGCCTGCCGTCTGGGCCCGTGGCCCCTCCCTAAGATGTGGCTGGATGTTGGTGACTCTTGCCTCCCACCCCACCGTCTTACCCACAGGCAAGCCCTGCCCTTACCCCTTTCCTTGAGCTCTGACTTTGTATCATCCAGGTTCCTCTGTAGGCCTCAGTTGGTCATCTTGGCTCAGGATGGATGGCCACACCAGGTCCCTCCAGCCTTGCTGTGGTGGTTGGCCCTGCCTGAAGATCTGTTTGACCAAGAATATTTTGGCCGCTGGGTTCGCTTCCTTGGCTCCTTCCTTCCCTCTAGGTAAGACAAACCTCTCCTTTACCCCTGCTTGGCCAGAGCCAGTGTGGGCCTCACTCCAAGTTGGTGGACAGCCCAGGGCCAGTGACCCTTGGGTCCCCAGGTCCTGGCCACAATCCCTCCTGGCCTTGCTCAGGGTAGCCCAGCTTCCACCCCCAGAGAGTGAAAGTTACCTGCCCCACCCTAGCCAGCTGCCACCTAATCCCATCTCAAGGGTCCAAGGGGGAGCCAACGATGGAGGAGGACATGGGTGGAGTTGGGTGGACACAAGTTCAGTGGCTGCCTGTGCAGTTTCTCATAATTCTGAGTCACTATCAGCTGGCAGAGACCAGGGACAGTGGCGCACAAGCAGCCCTTTAGTGTCTACTGAGCATACCATCTGCAGTGGATGAGGCTCCCGGGGTCCACCAGTTGACTCCATCACATCTAGGGATCCTCCGTACCTACTGTGCATCAGGTGTGTGGGGGCTCTGGGAATATAACAAGAGACCGAAGTCCTGGTCCCTCCTTCCTTCACTTCCTACAAAGAGTTGGGTAGAAAAGCAGAGGACTCCAGAGTGACCAGTGTAGGGGGTGAAGCTAGGAGGGCCTGCCACAGGCATGGCTGGGATGGAAGCTCAGGAGGGACAGCTGGGCAAGGTGACACGGAGACAGGCAGGAATGACTAGAAGCCACACCTGGCTTTGTTTTTTTTCGATGGTTTGTTTTCTTCTGAGAAGGGCCTTGTTGTATGGTATAGACTGGGCCCTTGTGTTCTGGTTCAGCCTCCTGCTGGGCCCAGAAGTCGTGTTCATTTTAAGCCCTGTGCTGTTCTAGCTGCAGGCAGGTGGTTGGGAGGGAGGAGAGTCAGGAGGCCAGAAAGAACATACTGGCTTTTTTTTTTTTTTTTTTTTGGTCTTTTTTGAGACAGGGTCTCCTTGTAGCCCCAGCTGTCCTGGAACTCACTATGTAGACCATGCTGGCCTTGAACTCACAAAGATCCACCTACCTCCCAAGTGCAGGGATTAAAGGCGTGAGCCACCACGCCCGGCTAGAAAGAACATAGTGGAGAATCAGGCAAGGAAGCAGTGCGGGCTGGCAAAGGTGATGCCGCTGAACACCAAGTCCACACGGTGAGTGGGGACTGCTCAAGGTGGCACCCGTCTCTCCACCAGTCCTTCCCCTTTCGTCCACTCTTTCAACCCACTCTGGCTGTGGGTCCTTCTCTGAGCCATCCAGTTCTGAGAATGACCAGGTCGGGGAGGGGAGGGGAGTGACTGGGAAGAGGTCTGGCCCTGTCAGAGGTGGGGCTGGGCTTGAGGAGGGTCAAGATTGGGCTCAGAAAAGGGGAGGAAGGGCTCTATGAGGGGCAGGGCTTCAGGAAAGGGTAGGGAGGAGCAGAGACCTTCGCAGGTCTGTCCCACCTAGGTACAGGTGCCAAGATTAGCTTCCAGCTATTTTTCCACCTGCCCCTTATGCTAAGACTATCTAACCCCTTCTCAGGTGGTACTTTACAAAAGCCTTTTCTGGGCTGTCCAGGTGGCTCAGTGGGTAGAGTGCTTGTGGCCAAGCCTGATGACTTGAGTTTAATCCCTGGGATCTGCATGATGGAAAGAGAGAACTGACTCCTACAAGTTGTCCTCTGACCTCCACATGTGTGTCATGGCAGGTATGTGCCCATACACACACACACACACACACTATCTATCTATCTATCTATCTATCTATCTATCTATCTATCTATCTATCTATCTATCATCTATCTACTCTCTCTATATCTATATATATATATATATATATCTGCTCCTTCTGTCATCTAAGCCTGAGTCTGGTGTCACCAAGGCCCAGAAAGGCAGCAGAGAGGGAAAAGATATTTTGCAATGGGGCAACTAATTAGAAATCAGTGCAGGAAGGGGGACACACAGCCTCCCAGAAAACAACCTGAGCGGGTGTTTCCCAAAAATGAGAATGTCAGAGATCATCGATGGACACCCTCCAGAGGGGCTGGAAAGAAATGGCTGGGTGCTTTAAAGGGCCTGGGAAGATGTACCCACCATCCAGCTGGGACTTTCTAGACAGGGGAGGGTATGCAGGTGGGTGGCCAGCACGCTGTAAACTCTTTGGTCAGACCTCGTGAAACTGCACTCCCACTCTGAAATTTGGATCCAGCAGGAGTGAGTGTATATGTGCATGTGTACACCCAGCCCAGGCCTATGAACCACAGTCTGGCCAGCTTTCTGCTGGAAGCTGCTCACCTGTCTATCAAAGAGAGTTGATAAATCAATTGTTCTGTATTTCACAACAGTGACAATCAGCCAACCCCAGCCTAGCTTGGCATGAATGACTCTCACAGCCAAACACAGTCAGCCAGCTGCATCAATGAAGTTGTGAAGTTGTGGGCTGGGAGGGGGCAGGATGGGAAGCTAGCCATCCGGAAGTCCCTGACCCAGAGCCAGGCCCCCCAGGAGTGCTGGGCTCAGCTGGTCCTCATGAGTTGTGGGCATGGTCGCTCTGTGGAAAGCCCATTGTTTAGATCTGTTTATTTTAAGAGTGTCTAGACACCAGTGTATATTAACTTACCTTCAGAAAATAACTTCCAAAAAATAAGACAGTGCAGACATGATGAGAGTCAGATACACGAGGGCTTCCCTTTACAGCACGCTCTTGAAACGTGGCCTCCCAGAACCCCATAACTTTAGATGTACTTGCTGACTTGGCTCAAGTGTTAGCATGTTTAGAGACATGTCAGAAGTAGCCCAGGCTGGCCTTGAACCTCCTATGTAACCAAGGGTGACCTTGAATTGATCTCCTGCCTCAGCCTCCAGAGTGTTGGAATTACATGAATGTACCACCATGCCCAGCATGACATGGTCTTGCTATGTATTTCAGTCTGGCTTCAAACTCTCAATCCTCAGGAAGGGGCAGCCCATGCAAGTGTGGGGATTACAGGTATGTACCACACCTGCCTTCTATAAGGTTTTCTCTGCAACTAGATAGCCTAATTAAATTTTTGAAATTTGAAGCATGGGTCTGGAGATCAGTCGTAGAGTGCTTACTTAGCATACAGGAGGCCCTGGGTTCATTGTTCATTATCAGTAACACACACACACACACACACACACACACACACACACACTGTAAACATTAATGGGATTTTTCCATATCTTACCAAGAAGCTGGTGTCTTTGATGTACCCCAGGCTGCCCACTGGTGCCATTTGAGGCTGGGTAGTTCTTTGTGGCACTACATCCTGTGTAGTGGGGAGAAGCTGAGCTCCACCCCCCTACTGGGGGCAGGACCTGACTGCAGGGGTGTGATAGTGCCGTCAACTTGATGGGATCTAGAATCACTTGGAAGATGGGCCTAGAAGGGGGCATGCCTATGGGGGATTATCTTGATTACGTTAATTGATGTAGGAAAACCCATCTTAACTGTGGGCAGGATCACTCCCTGGGCAGGGAATGCTGAACTGTCCAAGTGGAGAAAGGAGCTGAGCTGCAGTACTCATTCATCCCAGACATCATGTGACCAGCTGCCTTGATTTCCCCACCATGATAGACTGTGCCCTGGAATTGTGAGATAAATCCTTTCTCCCTTACGTTTCTTCCATCAGAGTATCTTTTCAAAAATTTTTTATGTGCATGAGTGTTTTGCTTGCTCATATGTAAGTGTACCATGAGCATGCAGTGCCCACAGAGGCCAGAGGGGGGTGTCCGATCACCCTGAACTGATTGTTAACTACTATGTGTGTGCTGGGAATCAAACCTGGGTCCTCTGCAAGAGCAGCCAGTACTCAACCACTGAGCCTCTAATTAGAGTATTTAATCACAGCAACCGGAAAAGAAACTAAGGCAAGGGACTTTATTTAGGAGGCCAAGCAGGAGGAAGACCTGGGGGAGCAGGGACAGGAGATGCCAGTGTAAGGGTCATGGTGGAGAGCACTGCAGAAGACATGGGGGGGGCTGCCTGCTCCTCTGGGGACTCCATAATTGAAGCAAACTTCCTGGAGGCTGGAGGCTGCTGCATGCTTACACTCCTGCCAAGGCTCTCATGATGAGGGTAGCCATAGGCACTCACTCCCCAGAACTGCCCAGACCAAAGACTGCATGGGATCTACTGCGAGGGTACCTCAGGAGCCTGTGGGAGAGTAACACATGTACCAGTCACTGTCCTCAAGGTGGAAACATCCGGCCCAAGGGCTTCAGGTCCCTTGGGTGGAATTGTGGGGCTAAAGGGGCATGCTGGGAGGGGTCTGGAGTGCAATTTTAATGTTCATATAGAGCCAACCACAGCTGTCCCACAGAAGACCATGTTCTGGTCATATCCACACCAATGTCACTGGGTGATGGCAGCGACAGGCATGACAGGTACTTGGGCACATTCTGGGCACCTTGGCTCTTAAGTTCTCATTTCACAGTGACTCTGGGTGCCTTACCTTTTCCACCTGCATCTTTCAGGGGAGGAAACTGAGGCACAGGGGCTATACCCATCATCTCAATTTCCACAGTCAGGGGCAGAGATTCAGCCAAGCAGGATATTAACCACAGCGACACAGTGCCTCCACAGATACAATCTCTTTAATTTTTGCCCGACTTCCGAGTTAAAAGTGACTGTTCATGGTCTTATTTTAGAATCTTTTGTTTTATCAGTCAGTTGCCCAAGTAACATAGTTCTGAACTGGAAAGGTAGCCTAATGGTTAATCCTTCATCTACTTGATGGAGACAAACCTCTGCACACGTCTATGAGGGACTTTGTAGTTAACGGAGGTGGGGAGATCCACCGTAAATGTGGGCAGCACCCATGCCATGGGCTAGAGTCCAAACCTGAATGGAGAGGGAAAAGCCGGCTGAACAGCATGACTTTGTCACTGTGCTTCCTGACGGCATGCATCTGACCAGCTTTCTCCAACTCCCGCTGCACGTCTTCTCTGCCACAATAGACTGTATCCCCTGGAACTGTGAGCCAAAATAACTCTTTCCTCCCTTGAGTTGTATCTTGTCGGGTATGTTGTCACAGCCATGAGAAAAGTAATACGGGAAATTTTTACCAAGGACTGGGGCTATTGGTGTGATAAGCCTGAACTTGTAGCCCTTAGGCAGTTAGAGCTGGTTTGTGGGAGCAATGTGAAAAAGTTTGGAACTTTGAGCTAAAAATGCCCTTGAATACTGGAAACAGATTAATGGCCATTCTGGTAGAGTGGAAGACCAGTATGCCAAAAGAAATGGCAGCCTGGCTCATCAGGCCTCAGAGGGCAACAAGGACCTATCAGGAACTGCGATGGGGCCATTGTGTAATATTCTGGCAAAAAATAAAATAAAATAAAATCTGCTTCATTTTGCCTGTGTCCTGGGAACCTGAGTGAAACTGAATTTAAAGATTTTTTTTTTATTATTTTTATGTGTATGCGTGTATCTGTGTGATTCACACGTGTAGGTGCCTGTGGAGGACAGAGGCATCGGATCTCCTTGGAGCTGGAGTTACGGGAGGTTGTGAGCCACCGTCACGGGTGCTGGGAACCAAACTCAGGTCTTCTTCAAGAACAGTACTCAAATCTTAATCACTGAGCCATCTGTCCAGCCGCTGAAGTTGAATATAAAGGCAGTGAGCTAATCTGTTTGGCAGGGGAAAATTCAAGACAGGAGAACATCAGGCTGTGTTACAGCTGCTGCTCACTGCTCTCATCTAGGTCCACAGCAGGAGGGAAAAGGTGGGCGCTACCCGCATGGGAGGATACAGAAAGATAGGAAAAGGGAGCAGTTTGGCAACGAAAGATGGGTGTTCAAGTTCAAAATTACAAACAAGAACACTGGTGCCAAAGCATCTGATTGTTAAGGAGTTTGGCATCATGAAAGAGAAACCTGGAGCTCTGTTCCAGGACAAAAGGTGCTCCAAGGGCAAGAGCCTACCCATCAGAGGCTCCATCTTGTGAAAATGAAAATGCATTCAAAAGGAGAGAGTCTGAACTGAGAATGCAACCTAGGGGGTTCCCTGCTTCTCAAAAGCAACTGTGTAGGGTCAGCAGACAGAAGCCAGCACAGCTGATCCCACAGGACCTGGCTCCATCCAGAACTGGCTTTAGAACCTGGAAGCACTGTCCACATGCTACTTGTTTTGCAGGCATGAAAGATGCCAAGGTGGAGAGTGTCCGAGGATTCTGAGAGTTCCAAGGTTCCACTGAGGCCAGGCAAAGTGTAGCAGGGTCAAAGGCCTGCAGGGAGGCCCTGAAAGGCTACTGCATGAAACTGTGAAGATGAAGCCTAGGTCGCATTGGAGACTCCAGAACGTTGGAGATGCCAAGACTATGGGACATCCACTCAAGGAAGCTGCAGGCGTAGGGTGGAGCCAGCCCAAGAAATAGGCCATGTGTGCAGCAGCCAGCAGAGCTGGAGGGGCCCAGATTATTCCGTTATGAGATACAGATGCCAGACATGGAACTGCAGGATTTGGTGTTTTCCTTGCTGGGTTTTGGTCTTGCTTTGGTCTGATTGTTCCTTACTATGCCTCCATCCCTTTGGAAATAGGAATGTCTGTTCTATACCATT